ACACGTAGATCAGGCAAGGAAAAAGTTGTAATAGTTTAATGCACGGCATTGAAATAATGGTTACAATGTGCAGCTCACCCATGGCTACAATATGCAGCGCATTGTCCTCTTGAGGGTAAACCATCTGAAACCTACACGCTCATAACAATATATTTAACCGACAGCTGCTTTCTGACAACCAGCTAAGTCTCGCCTAAGCTGGGTATTCGAAGAGAAAGACCCTTGGTTCCACAGGGGGCGTATCTGGTTCACGCAGACATACAAGGTGTTTTTGTTTTATTCTTTACAGAACTTTACATATTTTACAATAAAAGAATATGGCAGATATGTGGATGCCGTCTTTCGTTATATCTGTAGGGCTCGGTGGGCAATAAATGGGTGAATAACCGTTGCAATGTTTAATAATTAACCAAAATCTGTTAGTTAACTTGTTTACTAGCGGCTTAATTGGCCATGGTGGAATTGCAGTTTTAAAAGGAGTTATTATTAAAGGTAAACACAATTTCGAAACTTCGCGAAAAGGCAACGAGGTTCGCGAAAGTTATCGTAAAAGTTTGCCTTTCTTCGCTTGATTCAGAAACTGCGTTATGAAAATAATACGTAGAATAGTGACTTAGTCGTCTAGATGTACGGCGCCGGCGAGTCCACCGAAGACACGCTGTCGAGTTAGTGACGAAGGGACAGAAACAACTGTGTCATTCTTCTACGCATCAATATCAGCACAACCGCATTCGCGCTTCCAGCGCGCGGTTTTTTAATTAAGCATAGAACGGCAAAATTTTAGCGATGAATATCTCAGGACAGAACGAGTGGGTTGGTAAAGATAATTAAGCTTGAGGAAGAAAACGAGAATGGACGGACAAACACAACAAAAACGAGCGCCTTGTTGCTTTCGCTCAAAGCTCGTTGTTTGTTCGCGAACTTTTTAAATTAGGTTGGCCTTTAATGATGGCTCCCTTTAAAGCTGCAATTGCAACATGGCCCATTAAACTGTTCATTAACCCTTTGCCTACCGCAAAAATTAAAAAAAAAAGATTTAAAAATACCGATTTTTTTATGTGCCCCATACTCTTTTTCACCTTGTGTTGGACCGCAGGAAAGGCTACAGGCGCGAGCTCCTTGCTCTGGGGCACATCTCGGCGGCACAAGCTCTCGTGCACCAAGGGCAGCTGCCAACGCTATGAGCTCGCGCTTCTAGCCTTCGCTGCGGTACAACATAAGGTAAAACGGAGTGCATAAAATCGGGGTACCGACACGTGCACCGCTGAAAGTAAAAAAAGAAAAAAGGCGGGCTGCGCGATTTTTTCCGGATAACTCGATTACAGCGCCACCTCTAACTGTCAATACACGCGCCCTCATGAGCTCTCGTGGCCGAGCCGCTCCGGTCCCACCACTACCCAAGTATTCTAGTATACTGTAATTTAGCAAGAGGTCTAGAGAGAGTATTCACTAGACGCCATATCTGTGGGTGCTGTTTAGAGCGCAAGCTCAGAACGAACTCACATCAATAGGCTGCTAAGACCAGAACTCTCGATGGTGCGGATTGCACGTTGCAAAAGAACTGTGGAAGCTCGCCATCAGCACGCGCTCAGCATTCGCGCACACAGCTATGGCCGCCAGTGAATACTCCCTATTGCGTTCCGACTGGGGCTGATTAAAGCCCCTCTATCCTGGGAAATGTGGCGCCATTCATTGTTGTGGAAATGCTGGAGACACCTACCGCGCGCCACTTGTGGGAAGAACATGGCGTAAAATCTAGCTCATTGCCTGCCCTGTGCCGTCATAATCTTCCCAAGGGCTCAGCGTTGCACGTGCCTCTTGTGCACACGCACCTCGGCGGAACTTTTAAAACATGAAAGGGCTTTAGTGCCGATGCGTGCAAGCACGTGTAGATTGCGCATGAACATAGCTTAGCCAGGCTAGAATTTGCACGGACTTGTCCCCACGAGCAGATAGACATGGCCGCGGCCAGTAGCACCGCTTGCAATCTTCTGTGGCGATACTCGGGGAGGACTCTGCGTTGCGAGAAAAGAAGACGACGACGACACTGCTGCTGGTAACCCTTTTCGTGTCTCTGAATTTTCCTTACGTAGCCGATAAATTGCGTGTTTAAACAGTACATTCGGCGGTTAACAACTAACAGAACGACATAGGATCTTCGTGCGCAAAGGACCTCCTGAGGGGAGGCCAGGACATCAACAAATATGACCTCGGACATCGAGTCATCGAACGCTCTCATGTCCATTGACATGGATGATGCACAGCCAAGCACATCGACGATCATCAAAGATGGCTATGAGATCCCACCCATACACTGCTCCGCTGACACAATGAGCAGCTCCTCATCGACAATCGTGTCTACTAATGACGAGTTGCACTCCGACGACGGTGACTACGAGGTCGTTCATGGCAAGAAAAGAGGAAAGACAAGCCAGAGCTCAGCATCGCATTCTAAAGAGAAGACCAACCTACAAGTCGGATTCACAGTAATGTACATGCCAACTGACACCAGCAAGGTTGCATCGCTCAGCAAATTTAAACTGACTGACTACCTGAACAACGTCGCACCAGACATGGTTAGTGTAGTTCGTACCAACAAAGCTCGTAATATCGTTGCGGTTGACGTTAAAAGGCCTGCGCTCAAAGCCGAACTCCTGAAGCTAACCAAGCTATGCGCACTGCCGGTGCGTGCTTTTCTACCTAGCGACCGCACAAATTGCTATGGCGTCCTTCGAGACATCGACCCTGACTGCACAGAGACCGACATAAAAGCGCGACTACAGTCAACCGCCTCCATAACGGAAGTGAAACGCCTTGGCAAGACATGACCCGTTGTGCGAGTGTCGTTCGCAACAAAAGTAGCTCCTTAACATGTCAATGTCGGTCTCGTAAGAACGGAAGTAATTCCCTACCGAGCACGCCCCTTGCAGTGCTACAGGTGTCACGAATTCGGCCACATCGCAGCTGCCTGCGCAGAAGAAACCCAGTTATGTTCTCGGTGTGGACAATGCCACAAAGACAAGTGCGAAGCCAACCCCTGCTGCGTCAACTGTCATGGAAATCACGCCTCCAACGCACCTGAGTGCCCAGTGAGGGCAAGGGAGGCAGAAGTAGCGAGGTACAAGTTAGAGCATAACACCACATTTCGTGAGGCAAAAAGTGCTGTGCATGCAAAAAGACAGGCAAACAAAACAACGGATTCAAACAACATACAAGAATCTAGCGCCTCCGCCAACAATACTCTGCCTCTGACTGCTCAAGACTTTCCCCCTCTCGAAGACGTAGAGAGCACACATGCAAATCTGGTCACCGATAAATGTACCGCAACAACTACAGTACCAGTTTCTAGGAAACCTTCGTTTTGGGACAAACCACACATCAAAAACATCACTTCACATAAGACCTCCAACGTGCACATGACGGGACCCAACCAAGAAAGTGGAACAAAGACTGACTCTGTGTTTAAAGCCATAATCCCACTTATGTTCACTGCTCTTCGCAAGATACTGGCCACAACGTCACAGACATCAACACTTCATCAAGTGATCAAAGCCGTCCTTACATTAGAACCCATTATCGCAATGCTATGCTAGAGCGTTTCCAACAAAGCCTCACTTGTCAGCACAGATATTTTCTTCACTGTAACTCAAAAGCTAAATGGCATCGAACAGATGAGCCAGATCATATTGAAACTGAGTCTGTTGCAATGGAGTGGAAGGAACCCTGTCCATCACAAGCCCTCTACAAATTTATATGGTATACGCTTCGTAAAACGCTCTCATCAGATAATTTAAGGCACTAACAGCTCATACATCAGTATGAATCACAGATCTCAATGCTGCAGGACAGCAATTTTCCACCATTCGCCTGCCCACACCAACTCATCCACGATGGCAGACATTAATAAGAGGACCACCAAGCATCTTCAACCCCTCTCCTGCTCAGTTTTTCAATGGAACTGTAACGGATTGAGAACGCGACTCCCTGAGCTCCGCAAACACCTATTGGACAACGCCTATAATGCAGTAGCTCTCCAAGAACCAAGAATGTCAGCCGGCGACATGCGCATTGCGGATCATGTAGTGTACGCCAGCAAACCACATGTGGCAAGAGGGTTTCCGCGGGCAGCACTACTAGTGCGTCGAGAGTTGCCACAAAGTCAGGTGGACCTCAATGATTTATGCACTGAGAGTGCGGAGTTCGTGGCGGTGACGGTGGAATGGAGAAGACGTCCACTCACCATCGTCTCGGTATACGTGGCCCCTAACGCACCCTGGGACACCCATGTACTTGCGGACATTCGAGTCCGAGCCAAGGGAGACCTTATAGTAGCCGGAGACTTCAATGCGCACTCGCAGTCTTGGGGAGACAAGCAAGACTCCCCACGGGGACGGGAGCTACAGGCAACGGTCGAAGCACTTTACCTGAGGAACATCACAAATGGGAGCCAGACGTTTATCCGCCCTGGAGTGACGGGAAGCGTGATTGATCTCACCTTCACAACTTGGTCTCTGAGGCTCAGTGCAACCCCTCAGGCGGACAGCTGGGGGAGTGATCACCTTCCAATTGTCATTGGAAGACCGCCGAAAGTCCCCCTTAGGACTTGCCAGATAGTCGACTGGGACCACTACAGGACACTGCTTGGAGAAGCACTAGAGGGGGGATTTCCCTTCAATTCAGAAACACTGTCGCGCGTCCTCAAAGAAGCCACCCGTGAAGTCAGCGTGCCATTAACACGTCCTAACCCTGACCTCGAATGGCTTAAACTCCGAGCGAGAAGACGGCGAGCCCAGCGAAAGTCATGGGTCACCGGAAAACCGGAGGATATCCTGGCCTATAGGCGACTGGATGCCAGATTCAGGAAACACGGAAAGAAACTGGCGCGCCGACAATGGCGTCTCAAGTGCAGTACTCTAGACAGGCCATCCGGAGGAAGCCGGGCTTGGAGGATGTCGAGAACACTGGCGGGCCGCCCGATTCCCCGAAACCCAGTCCTAGGAATGGCCGTGGCCATGAACCTCCGACCAACGGACATGGTAGAACTCCTCGCGGATACTTTCACTAAAGTTCCGCTGGTACCGACAGTGGGACCACCCCCCGAGAATTGGGACAAGTTCCGTCATCCCACGGCACCTCTGATGCAACAACCGGACACCGACTTTACTCTGCACGAGCTGCAGTACGTCCTTGATTCCCTTCCCAGACACCGCGCGTCACCAGGACCAGATGGAATCACCAATCAGGCCCTGAGAAACGTCAACGAGTCGGCACTCCCAGCGATGCTAGCTCTCATCAACAAAGTCTGGAGGACAGCTGAGCTGCCAGACGCCTGGAGGGTAGCAACAACGATACCACTGCTGAAGCCCGGTGTTATGTCCGGCATAACATGGAAGAAGAAGAAGACGCGCCTCGTCTTCTTCTGCGACATCAGACAGTGCACGTGCCTGCGCATGCAGGGACATTCGGTCACGCCGCCATCACGATCGGAGAGTAAAGCTACTCGTTGTGCTTTCCGTAAGCGACTCCTGATTACTCAGCACGTAACATTGGCGACGAGGATGGGATCAGAACCGCAAAAGGGAAGACTTGCATCGTTTGAACGATGTCAGCGCTGCAAGGCAAGGTCGAAGAGTTCGACGGTACTGCGTGGTCGGCCTGGGCGGAGCGCTTGGACTTCTACTTCCAGGCGAACGATGTGCAAGACGCCGGAAAGAAGAGGGCGCTACTGCTGACTTTATGCGGCGCAGAGACCTGCAACACAGTTCGAGCGCTAGTTGCACCCCACAAGCCAGGAGAAGTTTCTTTCAACGAAATTATGTCCTTGCTAGGGGACCATTACGATCCAAGACCATCCGAACTCTTCTGTCGAAGCAAATTTCAGAGGCGTGATCAACATCCAGGGGAGTCAATTGCTTGCTACGTGGCAGCACTTAAGAAATTGGCAACTGACTGTAACTTTGGCGTGTTGACGACAGCTACATCGCCAACGACGACAGCGGGTTCGTCGAGTGCCGGCGGCACAGCGTCAGAGGGGTCGTCGAGCTCCGGAGACATATTGGCTTCCAATCCAACGATGCTGCCGCTGGACGTGATGCTTCGTGACCGCTTCGTCTGCGGAGTTCAAGATGAGCGTATTCAACAACGTCTTTTTGCAGAACAAAAACTCACATTCAAGCAAGCTTACGATATTGCCATCAGACTTGAGAGTGCAGTGCAACAACAACAGGAGCTGAAACTCCCCAAACCAGACCTCAACAAAATGTGTAGAACTACGAACCGGGCAGCCACCACTTCCAGTGGTCAGCCGGAGACGCCGTGTTACCGCTGCAATGAGCAACACAGCGCACAAACCTGTCGATTTCGCAAAACATCGTGCCGATTTTGCAGAAAGACGGGTCACATTGAGAAGGCTTGCCGAATGAAGGCTCGATCCGGAGCTGCACAACGCTCGACCAACCTGGTGAGCGATGACCAAAACGAGACTGATCAGTCGGTAAGTGATTTTGACATGCAGGAACTTAACGCTGTTCGTGCCAGCGTCGTGGTTCCCAAGTACCTCATAACGCTTAAAGTAGAAGGAAGAGCACTAGAATTTGAAGTTGACTCTGGTGCAGCAGTCACGGTCATCAGCCAAGAGACCTACAGGCGAACATGGCCAAACAAGCCACCTCCGTTACAGAAAGAGGATATGACGCTGCAGACGTGGACCGGTGAAGGACTCCGAGTTCTCGGTTCAGCGCAGGTACACGTAAAGCATAAGTCTAAGGACTATATCCTGCCACTCCTAGTCACAACTGGAACAGGATGCAACCTGATGGGACGCAACTGGTTTTCAGCACTGCAGATTCGACTCAGTGGTATTCACCACTGAGTCGAATCTGCAGGCACACCTCAATCTGGTATTCACCACATTGAGCAAGACCGTACTATCACAACGGTGCTCAGCGCGCACAGTGAGGTCTTCAAGTCTGAGATCACAGGGTACATCGGACCAACGGTACACTTGGAGATGAAAGAAACAGCAACACCCAAGTTCCTTAAAGCCCGACAAGTACCATTTGCACTACGGCCAGTAGTTGAATGCGAGTTGCTAGCATTGCAGAAGCAAGGCATTATAGAGCCGGTTCAACACTCCGCGTGGGCAACGCCTGTCGTGGTTGTCAGGAAGAAAGATGGATCCGTGAGGCTCTGCGGGGATTACCGCAGTACCGTGAACGACGCAGCAAAGCCGGCATCCTACCCGCTCCCGACACCGACGGAGGCTCTATCAAACCTTCAAGGAGGAACTATCTTTTCGACCCTTGATCTCGCGCAAGCGTATCAGCAGCTGCGAGTAACGGATACGACCGCCGAAATACTGACGATCAACACGATCAAGGGGCTCTACAGAGTGAAGCGACTACCTTTCGGAATCGCGGCCGCCCCGGCGATATTTCAACGAGTCATGGAAACCACACTCGCGGCCATTCCGGGAGTTAGCGTTTACCTTGACGATATAATCATCAGCGGAACAACTCCAAGTGAGCACGCGCGTCGGCTGGATGAGGTACTCTCACGACTGGAAAAGGCAGGGCTGAAGCTCAAGCAAAGCAAGTGCTTCTTCGGCGTGAAGGAGGTCAAATTCTTAGGTCACCGCATAAACGCCGAAGGAATTCATCCAACCCAGGACAAGATCCAAGCAGTAGTCGAAGCCCCAGAACCAGAGAACAAGACGCAGTTACAGTCCTTTTTAGGCCTCCTGGCGTTTTACGACAGGTTTTTAAAGGATCGCGCGACAATCGCGAAGGAACTGTACGAACTACTTGAACAGAACAAAGAGTGGAGGTGGGAAGAAACACACCGAAGGGCTTTCAAAAAGCTGAAAGATCTAGTGGCGAACTACACTGTGCTCGCACACTATGATGGAAAACGACCTCTAGTGTTGTCTTGCGACGCCTCACCATATGGAGTGGGAGCCGTACTTGCACAGCAAGATGCTGATGGGCGGGAGGCTCCGATCGCTTTTGCATCCAGAACGCTAGGCAGTGCCGAGCGGAACTATTCGCAACTGGATCGTGAAGGCCTCGCTATCGTGTACGGAGTTCACCACTTCCATCAATACATAGCTGGGAGGTACGTGACCATATTCACAGACCATCAGCCTTTGCTAGGTATCATCGGCTCCAACAAGCCTGTTCCACAAGTATTATCACCAAGGATGACTAGATGGTGCGTGAAACTGGCAGCCTACCACTACGACCTGAAATACAGGCCAGGAAATCGTCACCAGAACGCAGACGCTCTCAGTCGGCTTCCGTTACCACACACAGAAGACGAATTGAATCCACCTGGCGACATCTTGATGTTTGAAGGATTGTCACGGCCTCCTCTGTCAGCGCAACAGGTAGCAGAAGCGACAGCAAAGGACACTGTGCTGGTTGAAGTGTTAGAAGCAATTCAAAAGGGCACTCTTCATCGACTCAAATCACCAGAGTTCGCACCTTACACAAAAAAGGCGGCAGAACTGTCGACACACCGAAATTGTCTGACATGGGGGGCACGCATTGTGATCCCCACGCGGCTGAGGACGGACGCGTTGACGTTGATTCACGCGGGGCACCGCGGAATTATAGCAATGAAGACATGCGCACGGAGCTACCTCTGGTGGCCCGGTATCGACGCAGACATAGAGTCATTCGTCGCAGAATGCACTGCCTGCCAGACCCACCGCAAGACACCACCGAAGGAGCCCATGCCAGTCTGGCACAGACCCTCCCACCCTTGGGATACTATTCACGTGGACTTTGCGGGTCCTGTTGAAGGCCAAGTTTTTCTGGTGGTCGTGGACGCATACACTAAATGGGTGGAAGTCCGAGTGATGCGAAACATGACGTCGGCTGCCGTCATTAGAGAATTGAGGGCTATCTTCGCAACTTTCGGCGTTCCCCGGAAGGTGGTTTCGGACAACGGCACAGCGTTTGTGTCCGACGACATCAAGACCTTCTACCGGAATAACGGTGTAATATCGATCACAAGCGCGCCATACCATCCAGCAACTAACGGCCAGGCTGAACGCATGGTTCAAGAGCTGAAAATGGCACTAGCTAAAAGAGGAAGAGAAGATCTGAATTGTGTGGTTGCCAGATTTTTATTCAAACAACATACAACAATCCATGTGGCAACAGGAAAGACACCTGCTTGGATGCTTTTTGGGAGAGAACTTCCGTCTGCTCTCGAGCGACTAAAGACGTTCAGCCCCGAGATACCTGAAAGCACTGCCACCTTTACAAACCCACGCAAGCTGAATGTAGGCCAAGCAGTGTGGGTTAAAACATTTCCAGACGGTAAAAAGTGGATACCGGGAGTGATCGAACGTCAGCTGGGACATCGCTCTTGGATGATTCGGGTAGAGCAAGGTTCAATTCGCCGGCACACCAACCACATACGGCCGCGAAGAGTGGCATCGCATAATCAACCTCCACAGACAGCTGTGGCACCCGCATGGGACATTAACAACCGTGATGACCTGGCTCCGCAACCCTCGACAACCATCAGGGACAACAGCACAACTGCTATTCCCGAGGAATCGCTGCCTGTTGTGCCGCCGGCAGAGCCTGACACTTCAGGCACTCGAAGAAGTTCCCGAGACCGGCGACCACCTCAAAGATATGGACATGACGTCTAGTGGGGGGAGGTGTTATGTCCGGCATAACATGGAAAAAGAAGAAGACGCGCCTCGTCTTCTTCTGCGACATCAGACAGTGCACGTGCCTGCGCATGCAGGGACATTCGGTCACGCCGCCATCACGATCGCAGAGTAAAGCTACTCGTTGTGCTTTCCGTAAGCGACTCCTGATTACTCAGCACGTAACACCCGGCAAGCCCCAAGACCAGCTAAGCTCATACAGGCCTATCTCCTTGACATCATGCCTCGGGAAAGTGATGGAGCGTATGGTGCTACGCCGTCTTGTTTACCACCTAGAAGGGGCAAGGGCTTTACCGGACTGTTTTTCGGGATTCCGGCACCATCGAAGCACAGTAGATGCAATGGGAGATATCGTCAGCTCACTGGAAGAGGCAAAAGCGCAGGGTTGGTCTGCGGTGGCCGTCTTTCTGGACGTCCGCAAAGCCTTTGATGCCCTCCCCCACAAGGCCGTGATATCAGCTCTACGCCGTTTCGGGGTGAACGGACGTCCACTGAAATACATTTGTGCGTTTCTTAGTGAACGCACCATGTGTGTAAAGGCAGGCAACGCGGTGAGCAACCCCCGGAAAATCATCCGAGGAGTTCCCCAAGGGAGCGTTGTTAGCCCGCTACTCTTTGCTCTGGCCATCGCGTCACTCCCAGCGGCGGCAAGGGTTGGAGAAGAGCCGGCGTACCCTATCAGTATGGCCGTCTATGCAGACGACGTGGCACTCTGGTCCACTGCCCCCAGCTACAGAAGGCAACGTATGGTATGCGCTCTCCAGCGAGCCCCGACAAATGCAGTGTGTCGTCTCCACCAACTGGGCTTGGCAATATCAGCCGAAAAAACGATTGCGCTGTGCTACGCTCCAAAGAGGCCAAGCAAGTTCATGCCCACACTATGCATTGGGAACACTCCAGTGAAACTGGCGAAAACGGCCACATATCTTGGCGTCACGTTGGACTCGAGGCTATCCTGGGGCCCAGCAATGAGGGAAGTTCTTCAAAAGATGCGAACCCATACAAACATCCTCCGGATGCTCGGCGGAACTACTTGGGGAACCTCATCTCACATGATGCTGCAACTGTATAGGGGACTCATACTGGCCCGCCCATTGTACGCCCTACCTTTCGCCACGCTGAGTGCCAACCAGCTCAAAAACCTTGAACAAGCGCAACGCGTGGCACTCAGGATTTGCCTCGGAGTTCCCCGCACAGCCTCGTCTCGACATACGCTCACAGAATCCAGGATTAACTCTGTAGAGAACATCATGCAAGAACGGGCGCTGGGTCATCTGACTCGAATGAGCAACTGCGACTCGACCATCACGCTCCTAATGAGGATCGCCGAGCGCGCTGAATCAAGACTAGGAGCGCACCTCTGCACTCTTGGTGACATAGCTGGCACACCAGGACCACTCGCTCCACTCCCAGAGCTGCACAAAGATCCCCACCCCCTGCGGATCAGCCTGGACTGCGGTCCAAGAAGAACGTAGCAGTGGTCGTAGCAAGGCAGCTCACGGAAGACCACTTAGTTACCCAGTACGATGGGTGGACCCGAGTGTACACCGACGGATCGGTGGACCCCTCCGGAGGCACAGCAACAGCAGCGGCTTTCTTCGAGGCAGCAGCTGTGGGTACCAGTGAGCGCCTGGATCACCAGGCATCCTCCACCACGGCAGAGCTAGCAGCCATACGGCTCGCCCTCTGGGGTATTCGGACAGGCTGCACACAGGCTTTACGCTGGGTCATCCTGAGCGACTCAAGATCAGCCCTCGAGCTGCTATCTAGGCTCGAACGGGCAACGCCCCTGGCCCGTTCAATCGCGCAGGATGCGGTCGAGCTTCAGCAAGAAGGCAACAACATTGCCTTCCAATGGCTCCCGAGCCACTGTGGCATTAGAGGCAATGAAGTCGTTGATTTTCTAGCGGTGCGGGCTCACAAGGACCCTGAGTGCCCGCTTTCAACCGTTCCCCGCTTCTCAGACGCCAAGCTCCTTGTGAGAAGAGCCATCGCCCTACAGCACCCGGACCCCGTAGTGGTGGCGGGTGCCTTCCCAGCTCGGGTACCGCGCGGCTTCGACCGCCAAACTGCCGCAGTAAGTTATAGATTACGGACCGGAAGCGCCTTCACCCCGGCGTGGATAAGTCGCTTCAGACTCAGTGTTGACCCCATATGCCAGACCTGCGAGGAAACGGCCGACGCCGAACATCTCCTCCTGCACTGCAGTGATCACGAAGAGGAGCGCACCAACCTCCGTGATGCTTTTTCCCGCCTAGGGCTACCTAGTACCAACTTGGAAGAACTCCTGCGTCCAAGAGCCTCACGAGCTACTACGGACAAGGCACTCAAGCGTGTAGTCAGCTTCCTGAGGAGCGCGGAACTCCTCGAGATCCTTTAGGACTTCCAAGAGATCTGGGTTGCTTGCGGCTCCTGGGGCTCTTGGAGATCTTACATCCAGAGGTTTTCGGGAGTTCCAGGAGTCGCGAGTCAGCACTCTGAAGAAATCCTCTTCCCCCTTCCCCCTCTTTCCTCCTCTATATTTTTTTTCCCTTAATTCCCTTTCCCATCGACAGTGACAAGTGCGCCCGGAGCGTAACTAACAACAACGTCGATTTCCTAATAAACATCGCTTCAACAACAACATCTGCGTTGCGATGCTGTGCGCCGGCCAAAGCTGCGCAAGCGCGCTTCTCGTCTTCTTGGTGATACCACAAAAAATTGTACCATCTCGCGCGAGCAGTCACCAGAAAGAAGTGTCTACCAAATGGCCACGGAAAGTTATACTCTCCGTTTCACAATAAAGGGGTACTCCGGCGTTTCCTTCACAGTCCCCTATTTGCCCTATCATTTGCTAAACACACCAACAAACATCGCTGAAATAGTAACCGAAATATGAAGCCAAAATAACTTTTTCCCCGAAGTTATTACATTTACAATTTTGGTCCGCACCGTGTTTTTAAAAGTGAAAGTCTCCTCTGGCAACAATGAAAAAGTGACGGCAGCCGAGGATAGGGATTCCCTCTTTTAACTGCAGACTTTGTCTGCAGTCGAAGTCTACAGTCAAGGCTAGGTCGTAGAGCTGGCTGCGATTGGCTACGACAAATTGGTACACTTTTATTTTTGTTTGATTTACGTTTCGGGAGTCGTTACCTGGTACTTTTTCTCTTCCCTTTACTTGAAGAGAGTATAATAAATCTAAGCAAATCACGGTACATCCGCAATCGTTAATCTGCGTCAGAGATCAGAAATGCCGACCATCCTCCATTTTCGTTTTCTTCCCATTTCCGGTCAAGGCAGGGGCAAGCTAAGTCGGAACCGATCCTTTTTCTCATTTTGTTTCCTTTTATACATTTTTATTTTTGTTTCTTCAGCATCCGCCTTCTTTTTTGTTTGTTTTTGTTTACATGTGAGTTATTCTGAACGTCGCAATGAACTCTCTTCAGAAAGAAAGAAAAGATAAGCAGCAATGAAACAGCCGCAAAAGGGGAAAGACATGAGATTAGTGTCTCATATTTAGATATAATAAAAAAAAAAAAAAGAAACGGACAAGAAAACACTTAATCCCCCGTCTGACTAGAAGACTGCTGTCCCGACAGGATTAGGGTTGATGTGTCTCCCTGTCTTGGCGGATGAAACCACACAACGCTAAGGCGCTGCTGAGTCCCTCCAATTTATCCCAAGCTCTCAAAGTAGAAGCAAAACACTGGGGCAAAACTTTACTTTGTTTGTTGTGTACAATCGCATTGGCTGAATATGGCTTCTGTGTGCGAGCTTCTCTTTAGATGAGTTGTCCGTCGAGGGATGTCAGGCAGTACTGAAATCTTAACTACTGACCCCTTCAAAAATTACGCCCTCTTATGGTCGATCTAAAAAGGCTGCAAAGTTCCGTGCGCAAAAAATACAACAGGCTAGCTGGTTTATAGCTTATATAATACTCACTTCCAAGAGGCTGTACGCAACTGATAGAGTTGCCATTATTATTGTGTCTTTTGCGCAAAACACTTGCAGTAATTTCAGATCGACTGTCAGAGGCCGTTAGTTTTGATGAGGTCTTCTTTGCGACTAAATATGTTACTTCGATATAAAAAAGAATGATAAATAGACTGAAAGAAGAGTAAACTTTTATAACAATTAACGTAAAAAAAAAAAAAAAAACTTTCAGCCTTTCCACTCTGATGAAGAAGGAAGAACAGCGGAGCTGTACTATGGGCCGCCATCTATGAGGGACGGCGGCAACCAGACAACGGTTGTCTGGTGGCCGCTGTCGCTCGTAGATGGCGGTAGCTGTCCAGAGAGTTTTGTCGAGATTTATTGGTCCACAGACGCGAAACTGGGGAAACTAGCGTTAACAACTCCGCTGTAAAATGGAGGTACTGTGTGCGGCACCGCTGATGCGAACGCGACATCGACGTTCTTTTGAAATTTTTGCTTCTAAAGGACATTAAAGCGGGCATCAAAGTTAAGCGCTTATGTTTCAGCTCCAAAGGAATATTTTCCACCGGACTTGTCATTTGGACGACAGCTTTTTAATTCTAAGTGCAACAAAACAAAACAAAAAATGTGAGAGTTCATTGTGCTAGCAATGTCGTGCTCTGTATCTACACTGCAGTTGCAATAACATTTGAGCGTTATTTGTCATAAAAGTACGATCAGATTTACGTTAAAAGCACGGTGGTCGTCATCACGGCCCGAACGACGATACAATCATCCCAAGAGAGAGTTTTACTGGATCGTTCGGATACCTCCGACATATCCGATAACGGTACCCGAACACGATACGATACATCAGCAAAGGTGGCGGCGGTGTAGCGGGTATCGTTATCGGAATCATCGGAGCGATCTACTAAAACTCCCTTACGAACGTTACAAGCAGGACACCTGGCCGCCGACGTCTCGGCTCGTGATTCCAAGCACGTGAAACTGCAAGCACGTGCCATTTTAAGCACGTGCACTCACAAGCACGTGCAATTGCAATCACATGCAATAGCAAGCGCATGCAACTGCAAGCACATGCAATTGCAAGCAGATGCAGTTGCAAGCACGTGCAGCTACAAGCAGGTGCGATTCTAAGCACGTGCAATTGCGAGCACATGTAATTGCTAGCCTACCAATTTTACATGCAGACGCAAGCTACGCGTGATTTCATGGATAGGGCAGTCGTTTATGAATTCACTAATATATTCTTTTCGGAATAATAGCGAATACTTCATTCGCTATAACTGAGCTATTTAATAAAGCGCGTGAAGCACGACTACCAACGTTATTTTCGTACAATTACCGAATGAAGTACTTCGTAGCCATACTAAATTAAATTGTCCGAAAGCTAAGTAGGTAGGCTCAGCGTGTCCGAGCAAAAGAGAATACAATTCGAGCAACTTAATTTCTTTAACCGGAGTACTATTTTCTCCAAACCAAAGTGAGTATATGTTTTCTTTCTCTCTAGTTTGGTGACTCGAACACTGCGGCCGACTAGGAACGATCGGAGCTGAACGATCAACGTTGTTCATTTCAGAAAAAAAAAAAAGCTCCCTTTTGAAGGAACGGGGACTAAAAAAAAATGTCTCAATCGCGTTTTTTTTTTTTTCTTTCTGTGCGTGAGTGGTTTAGTGAAGGATTGCAAATGGCAGAAAAACGAGGAGAGTGGTGACGGCACACCTTTAGCGCTGTATGAGTGACTACATCTGAGAGTAGCGTTTGCTGCGGTAGAACTTAATAGGGAGCTTCGGTAGCCCACCCCGATACTTCCAATAACGATACCCGAAACCCCTTCAGCTCCTTTCCGCTTCCATCAAATCTTTGTCGGGTATCGTCATCGGGGGTATCGGAACGGTCTACTAAAACTCCTCAATAGAAAAGGGAGAACGCGAAACCTATATTGGGCAGAAAGTCGGGCGGAAAGAGGAAGAAGGGAAAAGGCGGAGAGAGATGTGAAATGAAAAGTCGTGCAAAAGGAAGTCAGCCTCATATAAAATAAAATTGGCCCCCCCTTCTCTCTTTCGCGCGCGCTTTCAGATCGAAGGCGCTTCGGTTCTATTTTGAGTGGTTGAACGATGCAGCGGTGGTGCCTCAGCGTGAAGCTCGTTTTCTTTCGAGGAAGGATAACGCTCGCGGCGAAGGAGCATCTTTCAGGATTTAGAGGAGCCGGGGATTCCCTCCCCTGAAAAGGGTGCTCTGCCGCGCGCACGGAAGCCATGCGGCGCAGCATCTGCTCCTCCGTTCAAGCGCCCTGGGCCACTTGATTCGTTCTCCGTTTTCTTTCGCGCTATTTTTGGTTTTCTCGTTCAATTGTGAGCGAGTTTTGTTCTTTTTTCGTTTTGAGTTCGAGAAGTCGGGATGCTTGGTCCGACTGCGACTCCTGAATTGTGGAGCAGAAAAGGCAGTGTCGAAAATGGCGCCTCTCGAAATCACGAGTTGCACCTGTTTTCCTGGCCTTACGACCGCACCGCTTTTAAACTGTAGCCGCCATCAAGGCAAATGTGGATGGTCGGTAGAGTGACCCCTGAAAGGATTAGCTGAGAGCTGTGTATCCTCCCGAGCTCAGGTTAACCCTTTAGAGTCACTATAGTCACTGAAAGAGTGAGAACGGCAGGGCGGGTCTTTTGAGCGTACGCGGCCTCCAGCACGCGCTCCGTGCCTTCGGCCGTGCTTGGGCTCGCTTCAGGTGCAAGCAGACGGCGAAGCCTCGTCAAAGGCAGAAAACTCGCGCTGGAGACGGGACAACTGAAGCTCCCTTCTGTCGTTCTCGCCTTATCAGTGGATATAAAAGGATTAGAACGGTTCTTCGATAATGCTCCATCGTCTCGTGAGCTTCGAACATCCACGCTCAGCCAAATTTGAACGGCGGAAGGCAAAGAGCTGATAATCAAGACCGGCCATCCCAAAGGGACGTACTTCCGTTCTTACTCTATCAGTGGCAACAGCCAAAGTGTAGCGTGTTTCGATGATAAGTCGCACGAGAGAGACGTGCTGCGCCCCTCGCGGGGTGGAGAGAAAGCTTGCGACGAATCGAATATAAGAACGGCGAATGAGAGGACGTGGTTTCTCTTTCGTGGACGACAGCCTATAACTTGGCATCCGCGGCAAGTCACGAACTTGTGGTGATTGTATGGACGACAACGACGAGCACGGAAAGTGTTAGGCCGCGCGTTAGACTTAGATCTTCGTATATCTCGTGGCGCGGAACATTTTTTTTCCCCTGCTGCCGTAGTCAGATCATGAATTATTCTTAGATATACTCGGTCGCACGATGATTGCATGTTCAATAAACAGGAGGGGCTGTTTTCTATGCATACAGATATTCAATTTGTGTTTTGTGCGCGTTCAGCGTATCAGTTCTATCTGGTTCCCTTGGTCGCGCGCGACGTGGGATCTAACTTGCCTGGCTGGTGCAGGAATATT